ATAAAATCAAGTCAGCCTAGAAAACCTGGATTTGACAAGCTTGTGGAGAGATTCATACAAACAAGGAATCTAGACTGAAAATTAGGCGTTTGGGCATCTCAGAAAATTTCAGGACAGGGCAGACCAACTTCACGCGAAAATGTACTAAAGAAACTGGGAGCTGTCCAGATAAACTGGTTGTCAGAGTTAAGGCCAAGATGTTTCTTAAGCGAAACAGCGACTTTAAAACGTTTTCCCCCTTTCCCTGACCCATTTCACCACGGGCTCTTTACGCTGGGTTTTTCATTTGGCGTCAAGATGTAGTGAGAACCTCCGCGGGATTTAACTGGCATGCCACAGCCGGCCTCTAGAGGGCGCAGTGCATTAAAGACCTTGGGCTTCCCGGGAGGAAAGGGAAGGGTGTTGGGGATCAAAGATCAAGCCCCCAGACCCGAGGTTCGGCCCCTGAAAGCCACTCTTTTGAAGAGTGTCTCCAGAAGAGAGAAAACCAAGGTACAGGAAATTTGAAATCTGTGTGCTTTATTTCAAGACAAAAGAGAAAGGGAAAGACACCTGCATGGGGTGTGTCCTGCTGCTGCCCCCAGCCCAGCCCCTTGGAACAGTGATCACGTTCAGTGCGGACTGTCCACTGCTGTCTGAGAACACTGTTGCTTGAAAAGAGTGTCCTTCTATTTTGGGGTGGAAAGAGAAGGGTCTCTGAGCAGGCTGTATCTCGGAGTGGAGCCACAGAGGGGCAGTGACACCGACATGACAGCTGACCTGCCCCGGGAATTGTGCTCGGGACGCGCAGCTGACGATTAGGCAGGGGAAGGGGGAATGGAAAAGAAAGAGCAATTCTTGAGACTCTTCTAAAGAAGAATTTGCAATCAAAGACAAAAAAAGGGAAAAGTTTAAGATGCTAAATCTACAAGGTTTTTCAAAGAGTATCCTCAAGCATCAGAATCTTCTCTGGAGCTTGTTAAAAATATGGAGCCCAGGGAACACCTACTGAGCCTTGGGAATGGCCAGGGAGTCTAAATTATTTTTTACAGCCCGAGAAGTTTATTAGAAATGTTTTTATTCAGTTATTAAGTGTTTATAGATTGTGGCACAAATGGACCTACCACCTGCTGATCCTCTCCCCTGTTTTTTTAATTGAATTATAGTAGATTTATAATACTGTGTTAGTTTCAGGTATACAGCAAAGTGATTCAGTTATTTTTTCTGATTATATTCCATTATAGGTTATTACAGGATATCGAACTTCCCTGTGCTATACAGTAAATCCTTGTTGCTTTTCTATTTTATATATAATACTGTGTATCTGTTAATCCCATACTCCTTATTTATCCCTCCCCCGCCTTCCCTCTCCCCTTTGGTAACCATAAGTTTGTTTTCTATGTCTATGAGTCTGTTTCTGTTTTGTATATAAATTCATTTGTATTATTTTTTAGATTCCACATATAAGTGATATATTATTTGTCTTTCTCTGACTGACCTACTTAGCATGGTATTCTCTAGGTCCATCCATGTTGCTGCAAATGGCAATATTTCATTCTTTTTATGGCTGAGTAATAGTCCATATATACATATATATATACCACATCTTCCTAAAGCAACCATCTGTTGATAGACACTGGTTTGTTTCCATGTCATGGCTATTGTAAATAGTGCTACTGTGAACACTGGGGTGCACGTATCTTTTCAAATTAGAGTTTTTGTTTTTTCCAGATATATACCCAGGAGTAGGATTGCTGGATCATATGGTAGGTCTATTTTTGTTTTTTTAAAGAACCTCCATGCTGTTTTTCATAGTGGCTGCATCAATTTACATTCTCACCAATGGTATATGAGGGTTCTCTTTTCTCCACATCCTCTCCAGCGTTTATTATCTGTAGACTTTTTGATGAAAGCCTTTCTGACCGGTGTGGGTGATACCTCACGGTGGTTTTGATTTGCATTTCTTTGATGATTAGCAATGTTGAGCATCTTTTCATGTGCCTATTGGCCTTCTGTATGTCTTTGGAAAAATGTCTATTTAGGTCTTCTGCCCATTTTTCAATTGGGTTGTTTGCTTTTTTGATTCTGAGTTGTATGAGCTGTTTACATATGTTGCATATTAACCCCTTGTCAGTCATATTGTTTGCAAATATTTTCTCCTATTCTGTAGGTTGTCTTTTTGTTTTTGGATGGTTTCCTTTGCTATGCAAAAGCTTTTAACTTTGATTAGGTTCCATTTGTTTATTTTTGCTTTTATTTCTTTTGCCTTGGGTGACTGATCTAAGAAAATATTGCTACAATTTATGTCAGAGAATGTTTTGCCTGTGTTCTCTTCTAGGAGTTTTATAGTGTCATGTCTTATATTTAGGTCTTTAAGCCATTTTGAGTTTATTCTTGAATGTGGTGTGAGGGAATGTTCTAATTTCCTTGATTTACATGTGGCTGTCCAGCTTTCCCAACATCACTTGCTGAAGAGACTGTCTTTCCCATCGTATACTCTTGCCTCCTTTGTCATAGATTAATTGATCCTAGATGTGTGGGTTTATTTGGGGCTCTCTATTCTATTCCATTGATCCATATGTCTGTTTTTGTGCCAATATCACACTGTTTTGATTACTGTATCTTTGTAGTATAGTCCAAAGTCTGGAAGAGTTATACCTCCAGCTTTGTTCTTTTTCCTCAGGATTGCTTTGGCAATTCTAGGTCTTTTGTGGTCTTTGTGATTTTTCTTGTTTCTTGAGGAAGGTCTGTATCACTATGAACTTCCCTCTTAGAACTGCTTTTGCTGCAAAACATAGATTTTGTAAAGTGGTGTTTTCATTTTCATTTGTCTCGAGGTATTTTCTGATTTCCTTGGTTTTACTGCTGACCTGTTGGTTTCTTTTAGTAACATGTTGTTTAGTCTCCACATGTTCGTTTTTTTCTCATTTTTCTTTCTGTGGTTGATTTCCAGTTTCATTCCATTGTGGTCAGAAAAGAAGCTTGAAATAATTTCTGCCCTCTTAAATTTGTTGAGGCTTATTTTGTGACCTAGTATATGGTCTATCCTAGATAATGTTCCATGAGCAGTTGAAAAGAATGTGTATTCTGTGTTTTTTGAATGTAGTGTCTTGTAGATATCAATTAATTCCAACTGGTTTATTGTATCTTTTAGGACCTCTGTTGCCTTGTTGATTTTCTGTATGGATGATCTGTCCATTGATGTTAGTGGGGTGTTAAAGTCTCCTGTTGTTATTGTATCATTGTCAATTTCTGCCTTTACGTCTGTTAGTATTCGTTTTATATATTTAGGTGCTCCTATATTGGGTGCATATATGTTAACGAGTGTAATATCCTCTTCTAGTATTGATCGCTTTATCATTATATAATGCCTTCTTTGTCTTTCTTTATGGCCTTTGTTTTATAGTCTATTTTGTCTGATATGAGTTTTGCTACTCCCACTTTCTTGTCATTTCTATTTGCATGAAATATATTTTTCTATGCCCTTACTTTCAGTCTGTGTGTAACTTTTGCCCTGAAGTGAGTCTCTTATAGGCAGCACATTGTAGGTTCTTGTTTTTGTATCCAATCTGCCACTCTGTGTCTTTTGATTGGAGCATTTAGTCCATTGACATTTAAAGTAATTATTGATAGGTATATACTTACTGCCATTTTAATCCTTGTTTTCCAGTTGCTTTTGTAGTTCTTCTTTTTTCATTTCTTCTTCTTTTTGTTTTTCTTTTTGTGATTTGATGATTTTCTTTTGTATACTTGAGTTCCTTTCTTTTTTGGTTTTTGTGAAGCTATTGTATGTTTTTCATTTGTGTTTACCATAGATCTCAAGTATGTTGACCCATAACTATATCTTCTTGCTTTAAACGAATAGTCATTTAAGTTCAGACACATTCTAAAAGATCTACATTTTATACTCCCCTCTCCTACATTTTGTGATTTTGACATCCTATTTTACATTTTCATGCTTATCCTTTTACTGTTTATTGTGGTTATAACCTCTTTTATAATTTTAATTATTTTTTAATCTTGGTACTGGCTTATTTAAGTGATCTTCAATCCTTTCATATATTGCCTTTTCTATTGTGACTTTCCCTTTCTTATAGAGTCTTGCTTCTTTCCTTTTTTTTTTTTTTTTAGGACTGATTTGTAGGTTTAATGAGATTATATCAACATACTTTATAATCTACGAAGCATAAATTTATATGATAGCTACTTTGTATTGAGCATTCTCAAATTCTACTACCCTACAATTCTAGGAATAGTAGTGGAAGCTTTACATATATAATTAATAGTATCTCTTAATCCTCAACACAACCCCCCACTGTTGTTATGATTATATTCAATATATAAATCAGTTAATAATCAGCTCAGAGAGGTTGGTTGGATTGGTTTGCTAAGGTCAAACAAATAGAAAGGGGAAGAGAGTCAGGATTCAACTTAATATTACTTCCAAATAGAGGCCTTCCTTTCCTTTTAGCATAGAGCTAGGAAAACATCTTATGTACTTAAGAATAGCGGGTGTGATTAAGAAAAAGGGGAAATGGGGTTGGTGGAGGGTGGGTGGGGCTTGGGGGAAGAACCACTGAATAACCTGCCCCTAGAGCAAAGCTAACGAAGAAAACACCCTGATAAAACTTGTGCCTGCGTTTTACAACAGACGACCTGAAAATCCCTGGACCTCATAATACATTGTTTTTTTATGTATCAAATATAAGGTGCAAAGTAAAAAAGATGTTTTTGAAGCTAGAAGAGCCATCCCAGCCAGATCCCAACTTAGTTATCACACACACACACAAGTCAAAAATGACATGAAACAGGAAAAACCGGACTTCCTTTGCTTTCAGAAAAGCCAAGAAGCAAAGAAAATTCTTTTTAGAAATTCAGAAAAAAAATTTTTTTCATAGTAGCTAATATGCCTTTCTTAGGCATTAAGACACATTTCTGTTCATAACCTTGATATACCCATATTTTTACTCTTTATAAAAATCAAGTCTCCCAGTAAAAATGGTATTTTACCACACTAATCTTTAAATTGCATCACTGAAAATGTAATACACACCAATTTCTAACCACTTGGAACATTCTGCAAAATGGATTTTAGTCACTGGAATGAATAATTGCTCAGAAAAGCAGCACTGCCTCAACTGTGGTACGATTTGGTAGGTAATATTCTTGTTTTCCAGTAAAAAGGAGATCTCGTAAGCAGAAACACTGGACTCCTTGTGGTTCCATCGATCGAGAGAACGTTTCTGAGCAGCTTCTAAGCAAATATTTCTTAACAGGTTGATCACAGATCTGGGGTCTTCTGTCCTCATAATGACACTGCCAGATACAATCACGTTAGCTCCTGCCTCTGTGCATTTATGGATGGTGTCAGGACCTACTCCACCATCAACCTCAATGTCCAAAGACGGGAACCAGGTCCTCAACCAGTGAACCTTTGGCATCATATCTTCCATGAATTTCTGCCCTCCAAACCCAGCTTCCACTGTCATAACCAAGGCCATATCTATCTGATGAGCCCATGGTGCCAAATACTCAACTGTAGTTCCTGGTTTGATAGCAAGGCCAACCTTCATTCCATTCTCCCGAATGTCTTTGATCAAAGCCCCCGGGTTCTCAGTAGCCTCGAGATGAAAAGTATATTGATTGGCTCCTGCTACAGCCATTGGTTTTACCCACTGTTCCGGCCTGGACACCATCGTGTGCATGTCAAAGAAAGGGTCCTGGGCTTCCCTGGTGGCGCAGTGGTTGAGAGTCCGCCTGCCGATGCAGGGGACACGGGTTCGTGCCCCGGTCGGGGAAGATCCCACATGCCGCGGAGCGGCTGGGCCCGTGAGCCATGGCCACTGAGCCTGCGCGTCCGGAGCCTGTGCTGCGCAACGGGAGGGGCCACAACAATGAGAGGTCCGCGTACCGCAAAAAAAAAAAAAAGAAAGAAAGAAAGAAAGGGTCCTGGCCTAGCTGCTTTCGGAGGCTTTGTACCACAGGGTGACCAAAGGTGATGTTGGGAACAAAATGCATCCAGGTACAGATAATCGGCCCCTAAACTGGCCAGGTCGCTGTTGAGGATGGACAGGCCAATCTTGCAGCTGGATGCCCTTCTTTCCTATTTAGAGAAGACCCTTCAATATTTCTTTTAGTGTAAATTTAGTATTGCTGAATTCTTTTAGTGTTTGCTTGTCTGAGAAACTCTTTACCTCTCCTATTCTAAATGCTAATCTTGATGGGTAGAATATCCTAGGTTGCAGGCTTTTTGAATATATCCTGCCACTCTCTTCTGGCCTGCAAAGTTTCTGCAGAGAAATCAACAGATAGCCTTATGGGGGTTCCCTTGTAACTGACTCTTTGTTTTTCTCTTGCTGTCTTTAGAATCCTCTCTTTAACATTTGCCATTTTAATTATAATATGTCTTGGTCTTTTTGGGTTCGTCTTGTTTGGGACTCTCTGTGCTTCCTGTACCTGGATATCTGTTTCCTTCTTTAGGTTTGAGGAGTTTTCAGCCATAATTTTTTCAAATACATTTTTTGATCCCCTTCCCTCTCTCTTCTCCTTCTGGAACCCCTATTATGCATAGGTTGGCATGTTTTATATTATCCCATAGATCTTATATGTTGCTTTCTTTCTTTTTTTTTTTTTTATTTGTCTTTCTGTCTGCTGTTCTGATTGGGTGATTTGCATTATCCTACCTTCCAGATCACGTATTCATTCTTCTGTGTCATTTAGTCTGCTATTCATTGCTTCTAGATTGGTTTTTATCTCAGCAATGGAATTGTCTATTTTTTATTGGTTCATGTTTATAGTTTCTAGTTCCTGTTACAGTGATCTGTGTTTCTATTGATAATCTTTCTTAGTTCGGTTAGCATTTTTATTACCACCTTTTTGAACTTGGGGTCTAGTAGACAGATGAGCTCTGTTTCATAATTTGTTCTTTCAGAGGATTTCTCTTGTTCTTTTGATTGGGTGTAGTTCCTCTGCCTTTTCATTTTACTTAACTTTCTCTGTCTCTATGAATTTAAGAGAAACAGTTATCTGCTGTGGTCTTGAAAGGGTGTTTTTATGTGAGAACATCCCTGTGTAGACTACGTATGTCCCGCGTTTTCATGCAAGGGCTGGTTTCGGTATGGACACCAGTCACGTCTTTCCTTAGGGTGTGCTGGCTGTTATCCCCTGGACAGGGGGTGTGGTAGGTGTTGTAGTATCTAGAGCCTGTGCAGGATATGAGATGGGGCTTCCTCTCTTGCCACCCTGGCAGGGGTGGGGTCTGCCCCCCCCCCCAGTTGTTGGATTAGAAGCCCTGAGGGTTGGGTTCAGTAGGATCCATTGCTCGTGAGTGTGAGCCCTGCCTCAAAGGAGGTGATGCTGAAGCAAGTGAGGTCCTATGAACTGCCTACACAGGCAGCTTCAGTTCTGCTCAGAAGCTGCCCAACCCTTTCTCTGTTGTGTTTGTCCCAGATCTAGTGCAAGGCTCTGGTGTGGAGTAGCCTGGGGCTGGGGGTCGGGGCGTAGTGGCTGCAGGAACTGAGGTGGCTGTGCTGCCCCCTGGGATCTGGGCTGCCTCTGTGGCAAACTTCTCCCAGGACGCGTCTGCCCCAGACCTAGCGCTAAGCTGTGGTGTGGAGTGGGCGGAGCCAGGGCTCTCGGGCTGGGAGAGAACCCATGCAGACTCCTGAGCACACTGACAATGGCCATCACTGCAGAGGGAGTCTAAATTTTTAACAGGCTCCTGGAGGGACTCTGATATACACTGCAGTTTGAGAACTATTGAATTGTACTTGTTCCAGAAAAACTCCTCACAAGCATCTGTATTTCCCTTCTTGCAAATATAACTCTTTGTCCCATCTGCTCTAAATGGCAAACAGTATGCACCGTTAGCTTGTAAAAATACTTCACATACGTCTTGGAAAATCTTTTAATCACTTTACTTTCTTTTCTCTGAGCACTTCTTTTTATCTTTGAGCTTTGGAGTGCCAAACTGAGGTCAGTCCTAAATACTTTTTTGACCAACATTAACATCAAAAGGACTTCACTGTAATCCAGCTCATCTAAGCCATTTTCACCATTTATCTTCAGCCCAGTATTACCAAGGAGCTGGTCAGTGGATTGAGAACAGTTTATCACACTGACAAAAGATCAGAGTTCACTGAGCCACCAGACATGTTTGGGGGCCACAGGCGCTCAACTTCTCCTGCCTGTTCCCTGGAAAAGGTGGACATGAGGAATCCCTCTAAGTCTTTGGGCAGTGAGGGGGGTCCTGAGTGAGGGGGCACTTGCCCCTGACCTAGAGAAAAGCTTTCGCATCTCATGCCTTTTCCTCTGAAGTCTAGTCTGCCTGGAATGGCCATCCCCGCTTGCCGTGCCCATAAACTCCTATCCACCCTTCAAGTCCCAGCTCAGAAATGTGTAGTGATGATAAAAACACTCATCATAAATCAGGTTTCCCTCTTCTATTCTGTCCTAGCATGCTATAATTTCCCTTTATAGCACTCATCAAATCTGTAATGATATATTTGTGTGAATATTTTATAAGCATATGTGTATCCTGGTTGACCAAAAGCTACATGAGAGCAAAGACCATTTGCCTTCTCACACTTGTACTTATAGCCTATTACCATGCCTGACACATAGTAGGTACTTAGTTAATATTATTGGATGAATGAATTGATAGGTGTACATTTATTGAGTACTTCCACTGTGTCAGGCCCTGGGCTAAGTGCTCCTGATATACGGTTTGTTTTAATGTTCCCAGCAACCTTCTGAGGTAAGTATTATTATTACCTCTGTTGAATAGACAGGAAGTTGAGGCTCAACGATGTCTTGAGAATTTTTCAGGGTCACACAGCTAATAAGTAGGAGCACTGGGGTTTGATATTAAATTTGTGTACCTCTAGACCTCAGCTCATTTGAAATGGTCACCCCCCTGTTACCTTCTTGGACACCCAAATACTAGTTAGTTGTTTCTTTGCTGTTTTTTTCTCATATCATGTCAGCTATTCCTCTATTACCACACTTACCATGTTACATCATCGGGATTTAAATATGTGTATCTTTGAGCTCCATGAGTGCATGGACTTTATTCAACTAGCAGGCCAATTCCAACCACCTTGTCCATAGCCAGGTGCAATTACAATGCCGGACAGTAAGTGCCCAGTTAACCCAGGATCAGTCTCTCTCAATACCTCATTGTCCCCTCCTGATAAAGAGAACAGATGCCATTAACATAGGTTGACAAAGTAACCAAATGAACAAACAGCTCAGAGGCAGACCAACCATATATGGAAACTTGACATATGAGATAGTGGCTTGACATATGAGATAGTGGGAAAAGGATGGAGCCAGGACACTTGGTTATCCACATAAAAAGGAGTGAAGGGCTCCCCTGGTGGCGCAGTGGTTAAGAATCCGCCTACCAATGCAGGGGACACGGGTTCGAGCCCTGGTCCGGGAAGATCACGCTGCGAAGCAGCTAAGCCTGTGCGCCACAACTACTGAGCCCACGAGCCACAACTACTGAAGCCCACATGCCTAGAGCCCGTGCTCCGCAACAAGAGAAACCACCACAATAAGAAGCCTGCACACCGCAATGAAGAGTAGCCCCTGCTCTCCGCAACTAGAGAAAGCCTGGGCACAGCAACAAAGACCCAATACAGCCAAAAAATAAATAAATAAATCAAAAAAAAGAGTAAAATTAGATTTCTATCATACACCATACACAACAATTAATTCTCTTTTTTTTTTTTTTTTTTTTATACCCGGGCCTCTCACTGTTGTGGCCCCTCCCGTTACGGAGCACAGGCTCTGGACGCGCAGGCTCAGTGGCCATGGCTCACGGGCCCAGCCGCTCTGCGGCATGTGGGATCTTCCCGGACAGGGGCACGAACCCGTGTCCCCTGCATCGGCAGGCGGACTCTCAACCACTGCATCACCAGGGAAGCCCCCAAAATTAATTCTTAATGGATTAATGACTTCCATATGAAAAACAAAACTTACAAACATGTAAAATGAGTAATTGCAGTGGTAATTAGGGAAATAAAAATTAAGACCACGATAAAATAATCATTTTAAAACCACTAAATTTGCCAAAATTAAGAAATCTGATAATAGTGTTGGCAAAGATTTGGGTCACTGCTGGTAGGGGTGTGTGTGTGTGTATATATATATAATTTTAGAAAAAATTTTGGCAATATCTAATAAATTGTTATAATTATACTATAGCATATGCAGTAAAAAAAAAAAATGATCATGTGCAGTTCCTGTGGAAAACAGCATAACAGTTCCTCAAAACATGGGATTACCATATGATCCAGCAATTCCACTTCTGGGTATATACCCCACGGAAATGATAGCAGGGACTTGAGCAAATATTTGTACAGCCATGTTCATAGCAGCATTATTCACAAGAGTCAAAGGTGGAAGCAATCCAAGCATGCATCAATGGACGAACAGATGGACAAAATGCTGTGTATATATATGTATATATACAATGGAATATTATTTTCTCTTTTAAGACCATTGGTCAACTGATACCAGCTAGTGCTGGACCTCCAGGATGGTGAAAGTTCTGGAAACTCTGAAAGGGAGGAAAGGCTGAATGAGATGGGATGCTGGTCTAGAAAATGCTCATGGGCTTTTTGGACAGTCTAGTTTAGAAGCACAGCTACACAAGCTTTGCTTGGCTGAAGCACTGTTCTCTTCTCTCCAGGAAGTTCATTCTCTTTGATTAAGTGAGCCACCTCACGAAGGATCCAGATCCACAGAATCAGCCTGAAAAAGGAAAAGCCAAGTTGGAAGACACATGAGACCTAACTTCAGGTATTAGAAAACCTGTCTTATAGACATGCATTCACTGTGGGCCATTCAGAGAGGAAGCTGGGTATTTAGAGGCCACAGGGAAACCGTGTAAGCTTAGATCTGGGCAAGCATCCACGAGGTAGGCTGCCTGTGAGGTCCTGGGCAAGGTCAACCATATCAGCTGTCAGAGGTTCCAGGACTGGAGGCTGGGGAAAAGAGAGAAGATGACAGCTAAGGTCCTCTCTCACTCTGTGACGATAATTCAAATGCATCCAAATGTTAGACACCTCACCCGCCAGTAAAAATGCTCAGTCCTAG